ACAGGACCATGGGAGTGCTGGTAACTGCAGAAGCCAGAGGCACCTGATTCCCCTGGAGCTGAACCACCAGACACGAGTGCCAAGAATCAAACCGGGCCCTCTGCAAGAGTAGCCAGTGCTTTTAACCACTTGACTTGGATCCAGCTTGACTTCTGATCTTCTTGCTTCCACCACTTGAGTGCTGGGATCACAGGTGTACCCTTGGTGTATGGGGTGCTGGGGGTGGAACCTGGGGCCCTTTGCAAGCTCGGCAAGCATTCCATCAACTGAGCTACACAGTCAGCATCTTTCTCTTTGATGTTACTAGTAGCTTGTGTTTGGGGGAGATGAAGCTGGGGAGCAAGGGCCTTCCTCCAGCATTGTTGTGGATTTGGGTCCAGGGAGTAAATCACATGGAGGCAAGAGCCCTTGGGTCAGGATTTCCTGGCACTTCCTGCCCGGGAGAGCATCCTGCTCTGGGGGCAGCTGGCCCACTGCTCCCTGACGTCAACTCTGCTTCCAATGAATGGCTTTCCTTTTCCGTTTGGGAAGACATGTTATCTGTCATCAAGCCATCGACCGTGACCGTCTTTCTCACTTTGGCACCTCCTGTTTGGGAAAGAGTGAGAAGGACTAACGAGAAGGTAGTGGGTGGAGGCAGGAGGCTGGGCAGGACTCAGTGGATGGGTCTCCATGGTCTGAGGGGGATCTCAGAGGACAGATGCCATCTCACCTGGGGTCCTCAAGGTATGTATAGAGAATGCCCATGCATGATGATAAGGACTGCCACAGACTGAGCCCTCGGAGCAGCTTTAGGATACAAGGCTCTCTGGGCTCTCCAGGCCCCGTGTTGTGAGGCCTCCTGGGAGAAGGAAGGCATGTTTTGTCAATTTACAGATGTGAGCATTTAAAAATTTCTCCATACATCCTGGCAGTTAGTGGTGGCTGGTGGGGGTGACAGTCACTTTCCTCAGTGGTATAACCATTGATAAGTTGCCTGTGCTCCAGTAAATGACCTCCTGCTGGTGCTCACAAAGGCAATTTAAACTCAGTGGGTCACACGCATGGCAGGAAGGGAAACTGTAAGGAGGAAGAGTTCAGAGAGAGGAGGAGGGATGAGCAAGGTACTAGGAGTTGAAATGGACTGAAAATCATTATATATACACATGAAACTACCAAAGAATAAACTGTTTTTTTGGTCTTTTTGAGACAGGGTCTCTCTGTAGCTCCAGCTGACCTGGAACATGCTATGTAGACCACATCTTGAACTCAGAGAGATCTGTCTGTGTCTGCCTCCCGAGTGCTGGGATTAAAGGGGTGTACTACCATGCCTGGCAGAATAAAAATGAATTTAAAAATTTGAGATAAGATCTCAGTATGTAGCCCTGATTGGCCTAGAACTCAGTATGTAGATCAAGCTGGACTCAAAATCTCAGAGATCTGCTTCTCTCTGCCTCTGGAGTGCTTGGGTTAAAGGTATATGTCACCACACCTGGCCAAAAAAGTTAATATAAAAATAAAATAAGAATCGCTCAGTCTCTGAAAGTCATTATATGAAATTTAGGAATCTTTACAATGCATATGTCCTGGGAAAAAGTCATGGCTTCCTAACTAGCTACGGCTGTTCAGACTAACCATGAAGCCAGAGGCTCTAGATGTGTGGCTCTGGAGGGCCTGGGTCATCCCATTTTGCCAGAAATGGAAATATTTTAGTTTAATTTGCTAAAATGTCAGTATTGCTGTCTGTAACTATTATTTATTTTAATTAATTAATAATTAATTAATTTTTATTTTGTGTCTATGTTTTGCCTGCATGTAAGTGAACCATGTGTGTGCAATTCCTGAGGAGGCCAGAAGAGGGTATCGGATTGCCTGGTACTACTAGAGTTATAGACAATTATTGGCCACCATATGGGTGCTGGGAACCAAACCCGGGTCTTCTGCAAGAGCAGCCAGTGCTCTAAACTGCTGAGTCATCTCTCCAGTTTCAACTTACTCATTTTACATCAGAAATTCCCAGGGAGACAGACTATGTAGTTTGTAGTTTGGAGGTAATACCTCATACAGCAAGGAACCTGTGTACAAAGCAGCTGGCCTCCCTCTCTTTATCAGGATGACCAGGAAGCCCTGTGGTGCATGTGAGGATCACCACTGAGCACCTGGCGATGGTGCACGCAGCCATTTGGCAAATGTTTACTCCCAGCACCAGGCAGAGCAGAAGCTGAATGTACTGTGGTCTCATCCTTGTTACTGGAAGTTAGGAAATCTGATGATTCACCATTTCTAACTCGGAAGAGCTGAATCAAATTCCACCTAGTATTTGTAAAACTATATAAATTTAAACACTGAAACCAATCCCAGCATCTCATTGCCTGTAAATGACTAAACTGCACCAAGGAATCCACGAGAACCCTCCCCCTTCATAAAATGAGACAGTTTTTGTTCTTTGTACTTTGCAACATATTGCTATTTATTATTATTTAGGGTGTTTGTTTTGAGATAGAGTTTCTCTGTAACCCAGCTGGCCTGGAACTCTCTATGTAAACCAGGCTGGCCTGTCTCAGCGATCCACCACCTGTTTCTGCCTCCCAAATGCTGGGATTAAAATTGTGCACCACCGCCAAGCTTATACACTGTTATTTTTCTGAGGCAGTATTTTATGGAGCCATGGCTAGCCTTGAACTTACTATGTAGCAAAGGATGACCTTGAACTCCAGATCCTCTTGCTTCTGTCCCCCAAGTTCTGGGATCACGGGCATTCACCACCAAGCCTGATGGATTTTTGTTTTTAGATCCTTCTGTCTCTGCCTTTTGGGGGCTGGGATTATAGCATGGGCCACCAGGCCTGCCTGAGAGAGTCTTTATACTACTCTTTGGTAATTTTTGTTATTATTATGATTTCTTTCTTTTTCTGTCTTTTTGAGCCAGGGTCTCCCTGCAGCCCCAGCTGGCCTGGAACTCACTATGTAGTAGGCTGGCTTTGATCTCACAGAGATCCTCCTGCCTCTGCCTCCTGAGTGCTGGGACTAAAGGCTTGTGTCAACATGCCAGGTTATTATTATGATTTCTTTAAAATGCTTATAAACATTTATTATTGTGTACGTGCATGATTTTGTGCATGTGTGTATGTGTGTGTGTGTGTGTGTGTGTTCGCAAGCACTTGTTAGTGCTATTGTACAAGTATGGAGGTCAGAGGACAACTTTGTGGAGTCCGTTGTCTCCTTTTATTTATTTAATTAAACACTTTTTTAAAAATAGGATCTCACTATGTAGCCTCGGTTGGCCTGGAACTGGCTACATAGACCAGACTGGCTTCAAACTCATAGAGTTCTGCCTGCCTCTGCCTCTTGAGTACCATTAATTAAAATTAATTAATTAATTAATTTTGTCAGGGAGGCAGCACAGTAGAGTTGTGGAGTTCATGTGGAGGTCAGAAAACAAGTTGGGGGAGTCAGTTCTGTCCTTCTAACATGTGGGGTTCGACGATTAAATCAGGTTGTCAGCCTTGGCAGCAAGCACCTTTATCTGCTGAGCCATCTTGTTGGCCTCTGGGAATTTTTTGTTTGTTTTCACCATGAGGCACTGGTTTGCCTGAACTTGCTATGTTGAGCAGGTCAGTCTCAGACTCTCAGAGATCCGTCTACCTCTGCCAAGTGTTGGCATTAAAGGCATGTGCAACTGTGCCTGGCTGGTGATGTTTTTTTTTTTTTTTAAATTAGTGCTGTTAACTGTTCTAGGATTTCATTTTTCAGGATGTATGGTCTTCCCATGTAATGATACAGCAAGTCCTTCACTGAAATTGTCGTCATACTCTTAATACTGTGCTTGAGAAATGCTAAGAGGAACATTCTTGTGGGAATGTATAATTAATTTCCCTGGGTTAATTTGGTGGAAGCAAAATTCAGTGCCATGGGTTTCATTCTAACCTCATAACACCCTTGGGATTAGTAGGGTATGATTACATTTAAAAAATATTTTATTATTTTTATTTTATGGATATGTGTGTATTGCCTGCATGTAGGTAAGTGCACCCGTGTTGTGCAATGTCCGAAGAGAACAGAAGAGACTGTCAGATTCCCTGGAACTGGAGTTATGGACAGTTGTTAGCTGCCATATGGGTGCTGGGATTTGAACCTGGGTCTTCTGCAAGAACAGTCAATGTTCTTAACTGCTGAGCCATCTCTCCAGCCCAAAATATTTCATCATTTTTATTTTATGTGTATGAATGTACTGCCTGCATGTATGTAATGCCGGTGAAGGTCAGAAGAAGGTGTTGGATTCCCCTGGAACTGGAGTTAGCCATCATGTGGATGCTGAGAATCGAACCAGGTCCTCTGCAAGAGTGGTCAGCGTTCTTAATTGCTGAGCCATCTCTTCAGCCCGTATGATTACATTTTAATAACTTTTCCAGTTTCCAAGTCTCATCCTATGAGAGCCAGCCAGGATTACAGGGCACAGCACATGTTTCCTGCTGATCAGAATGCTGTGAAGTCACCTTCCATTCCTGCCATGCTGTGAGAGGACCCAGGGTCTCAAGCATGTTAGACAAGTGCTCTACCCCTGAGTCACATCCATAGCCTTTTCAAAATGAGTGGGAAAGTGTTCTAAGGATTGCACTCCTCAGTTTATGGTCTTAGAGCTGTGCATGACATTCATTTATTGATTTTGTGATTGTATCACAGTTTTGTGAATATCACCGTGAAAGCATATGGAGCTCAGACAACTTGTAGGAATTGATTCTCACCTTCCACCATGTGTATCCTGGGGATTGAACTTAGGTCATCAGTCTAGGCAGCAAGCACCTTTACTGGCTGGGCCATCTTGTCAACCCAGAACTGTATAGTTTCAGGGTCTGGGACTAGTCAATGTGCTGGAGTAGGGTGGGGTGGAGTGGAAGACATGTCATTCATCTGAAATTATTTTTTTGAGACAGCATCTCCCTGTAGCCCCAGCTGGCCTGGAACTCCCTGTGTAGACCAAGGTGGTCTTGAACTCACAGAGATCCACCTGCCTCTGCCTCCTGATTGCTGGGATTAAAGGTGTGTGCTATGAGGCCCCGCTGAAATTTGTTATTTTATGTATGCATTTTGAGACAGAGTCTCTGTAGCAAGTTTCATATAGACCATGCTGGTTTTGAATTTGCTGTATAAGGGAGATTGCGTGATCTTCTGTTACTGGATTACAGGCCCGAGTGACCAGGCCAGGCTTTGTATGAGATTTGGTGGGGCAGCTCTGTGCCTCAAAGCTGCAGGTTCTGCGTCTGACAAAGTGGAAAACACCTCCATTCTGTAGGGCTTTCCCATGGTTCCAGCACCCTGGTGGGTCAGCTGTTAACTACAAAGTCAGATCCTGTGCAGGTCTAACACATTCACAGGGCTGTCCAAGTCTAAGAGTCTTCCGTAATGGTTCAGGAAAAGAAATCTGCTGCTTATCAGTGGCTGTGGATCTGGCAGGTGGCAGGGAGGGTCCAGCCTCAAGACGCTGAGCTGTCGCCAGCATCCTTCCCCCGGAGCCCCAGAGGTGAGCACAGGGTTGGGACTGTCAATCTGACAGGTGGCAGGGAGGGTCCAGCCTCAGGGCACTGGCCTATCCGCAGCATCCTTCCTCGGGGGCTGGGCAGGTCTCGAACGCAGGGCTGGGACTGCCAATCAGACGGTAGGAATGGACGGTCCAGCCTCAGAGCTGTCTGCAGCATCCTTCCTCCGAAGCCGGTGAGCTGAGCGCAGAGTGGGACTGTCAATCAGACGGTAGGAATGGAGGGTCCAGCCTCAGGGAGCTGAGCAGTCCGCAGCATCCTTCCTCCGGAGCCGGGCAGGTGAGAGCAGGGCTGGGACTGTCAATCAAACAGTTGGAATGGAGGGTCCAGCCTTAGGGCGCTGGGCTATCCGCAGCACCTACCTCCGAAGGTCCAGCCTCAGGTCGCCGAGCTCTCCGCAGCATCCTTCTTTCCGAGCCCGGCAGGTGCGCGCAGGACCGGACCTTGCGCGTCCCCCACCCGCTCCGCGGCTCCCGCGCCTGCGCCCTGCCGCCGTGTCCGCGCTGCCGTTGTCAATAAAGTTCTCTCGCGCCGGAAGCGGAAGCGGCGGATCTCCATGGCGGCGCCGGCGGCGGGGCCGGTGTTCTGGAGGAGGCTGCTGGGCCTCCTGCCTGGCCGGCCCGGGCTGGCCGCGCTCCTCGGCCGCCTGTCCGACCGCCTGGGCCGGAACCGGGACCGGCGGCGGCGGAGGTGAGCGTGGGGCCGGGCAGGGCGGGCTGCGTCCGGGGACCAGCCGTGGACGAGCCACCCGCACGGGCCTCGCCGCGCTGCGCGGAGCCCGGGCCGCCCTGGTCGTGCACTTTGCAGCGGGGACCCGGGGAGCTGCGGCCAGGCCTCCGGGCTGGAGCCGGGCCTCTGGGCCTGGCCCGGGGTGTGAGTGCAGCAGAGCCGGCTCATGAGAGCCACGGGGCCGGGGGAGGCTTTTCCCCTCCTTTAGCCTGGCCAGGGCGAGTTGGGGTGAATCAGCCCCGCTAGGACCGGGCGCGTGCAGCGCTGCTCACCTCCTGCCCCAGAGGGTGGTGAAGCAATCCTGACTCAGTAGCCCTCAGGCCTGGGAGGAGGAACCACTTCGCCATTTAAAGGGCCTGTGTTCTGGGAAAGTTCTCAAGTGGGTTGTGCAAATGGTGAAGTAGGCTTTGAAGCAGTTTGTTCGGGGAATAGTCTTTTAAAGTAAATATTTGGCTAAGGACACGTTGACCCAAGAGGCCCTGATGCTGTTGTTAACATTAAAGAAAAGGGCGAGAGAATTCTCTTCGTGTGCAAATAGTTTTCTTTTTAAAGACATTTATTTTTATTTTATGTGTATGAGTGTATTGCCTGCATGTGTGTAATTGCACCCGTGTCGTGCAATGCTCACGGAAGTCAGAAGAGGGCGTCGGATCCCCTGGAACCGGAGTTTGCGATGGTTGTGAGCTGCCATGTGGGTGCTGGGAATCGAACCGTCCTCTGCAAGACCAGCCAGTGCTCTTGACCACTGAGCCATCCCTCCAGCCTCCTTAATACTTTTCTTATTAGAGACATTTGACCCTTAAATCTTTGAATTACATCATGTAGTTGAAGTTGCATTGTTTTAGATTTTTAGTTTTATGGTTATTTTTTGCTTCATGCATTGTACCGCCAAGCCACATCCCCAGCTCTTTTTAAACATGTTACATTTTAATTTATATTGTGTGGGTATGGGCATGTATGCATGTGTTTGTGCACGTGCGTGGGATGTGAGCACGTCATCGAGTTTGAGTGGCAATTGGAAGGCAGCTTGCAGAAGTGGCCTCTATCCTACTGTGTAGGTCCTGGGGATAGAGCTCAGGTTGACAAGCTTAGCAGCAAGTGTCTTTATCCCCTGAGCCATCTCTCCAACTACATCCCATGTAGCTGAGGCTAACCTTGAACTCCTTCCTGGTCCTTCTCCTGCCTCAGCCTCTCCAGTGCTGGGATTACTGATGTGAGCTGTCAAGGTCCACTCTCTTAACTTTCTGCTTCTGTGTTCATAAGCAAGGTTTGACTTCCTGGTGCTTGCTGCTGAGATCTGGGGTCCATTGTGTGCTGATTCTGGGTATGAACTGGGACATTCATTCACATTGAGCAACAGTGGAAGTTTACCAGCCAAAGCTCAAGTTTGATCCAGAGGAACTTTTTGTGACAGAATCAAGACTGAAAGGAACTTTTGGAAGTCCCTGATCAGAATGGCTCATGTTTCCCAGAAGTGAAGCCAGGAGTGGGCGTGTAGAAGAGGCAGTAGCTCTGTAGTCCACAGCTGATGCTTAGTAAGGACCTGCTCATTCTGTTGGTGGTAAAGTCAGGTGATAGCTACATCCTGGCATCATCAGACCACCAAAAGATTCAGTTTAAATTTTCAAAAAAATGTTCTACCCTGAAAGATGAGATGTTTTTTGAGATAAAATCTTACTATATTGCCCTGGCTGGCCTGATTTGCTATGTAGACCGGGCTGACCTTGAACTCACAGAGATCTGCCTGCCTCTGCTTTCTGAGTGCTGGGTCTAAAGGTATGAGCCTCCATGCCCAGCCTCCCTCTTTGTTTTTAAGCATTAATTAATATTCGGCTTTGGTGACAGTTACTGAAGGATGTCGGGGCAGTCTACACAAATTCCCCCCTTCTCCCTTCTGGTATCAAATCCCGGATAGGCAAGGCACTCTTACCACTGAGCTATGCCTCCAACCCACACACAATTTTATTCTTTTTTGAAACAGGGCCTCATATAACCTAGGCTAGCCTCAAATTTGCTTTGTAGCTGAAGATGACCTTGACCTTCTAACCCTCCCATCTACCTTAGGAGTGCTAGAACAATAGGCATGAGCCACCATGCCCAGTTTCATGTGGTGCTAGGTGTCAGATTCAGGGCTTTGTGCATGCTAGGTAAATACCAACTGAGATACATCTCTAACCCCCACAAATTCTTGTTATGTAACCCAGGCTGGCCTTACTCTCTGGATCCTTAGTCTGTCCTTAGTCTCCCGAGTGCTCGGTGTACAGGTGTGCACCGCCATGCCCAGCCTGGACACGTTCTCCTCCTCCTTCTTTTACCTTTACATTTTATTTATTTTATTGTGCAGTGTGTGCGCGTGCATGTGTGGGTGCCAGGAATTGAACTCAGGTTGTCAGGCTTGGTAGCAGGCACCTTTACCCACTAAGCCATCTCACAGGTGGCCCCTTCTTTTTATTTTTCAAATTTAAAATTTTTTCCAATTGATTTAATTTTATGTGTATAAGTGTTTTGCCTGCACATATGCATGTATGTAGGTACACCACATGAATAGGCAGGTCCCTTTTTATAAATTTTATTATTTTGTTTTTTGAGACAGGATCTCCCTGTAACCCCAGCTGGCTTGGAACTTGCTATGGAGACCAGGATGGTCTTGAACTCACAGAGATCCCCCTGCCTCTGCCTCCTGAGGACTGGGATCAAGTAGGTGTGTACTACCACCACACCTGGTCCTTTTTTTTTTTTTTCTGAGACACGGTCTCCTGTAGCCCCAGCTGGCCTAGAACTCACTATGTAGACCAGGCTGGCCATGAACTCAATAGAGATCCTCCTGCCTCTGTCTCCCAAGTGCTGGGACTAAAGGTGCAAGCTATCACACCCAGCTCGTCCTTTTTTGTAAATTAGAAAAAAAAATTATTTTATTTGCTTTTAATTTTATTTCACTTTATTGTATTTATGTGTGTGCATGTGTGTGTGAGTGCCCACGGAGTCCAGAGAGAGTTTGATCCCCTGGAGCTGGAATTAGAGGTGGTTGTGATCCCCTGATGTGGGTACTGGGACCCGAACTCGAGTCTTCTATAAGACAGTGAATGCTGTTAACCACTAAATTGAAGAAAAAAAGGCAAAAAATTTTGTATTTATTTTATGTGTGTGAGTGTTTTTACCTGTATGTATTTAAGTGTATAATCAGTGTGCAATTGGATTCTCTGGAACTGCCTAGAACTGGAGTTACAGGTGGTTGTTAGCTGCCATCTGGATTCTGGGAACTGAACCCAGGTCCTCTGGAAGAGCAGCCAGTGCTCTTAACCGCTGAGCCATCTTTCCAGCCCCTCCTGAAATGTTTTTTTGAGACACACATCTCATATTATGCTCTGGATCTAGCGTATTTGGCTTCTGATTGTCCTAGAACTCCTTGTATAGAGAGGCTGTCTGTTGATTTTTATTTTTTTCTGAGGTCAGGTCACATATAGCCCAGGCTGGCTCAGACTCGTTATGTAGTTGAGGATTACTTGAACTTCTGGAGCCTAAATTGACTTCCCAGTTTTGACTTTCCCAACAAACTTTGTTTGAGACAGGGTCTCGTTTACCTAGACTGACCTCCAACTATGCCGACGATGACCTTGAACTCTTGGTCCTCCCTGCCGCCATCACCTGAGTGCTGGGATTACAGGCATGTGCCACCACAGTCAACTCAGCTTCCCCAAACCATTGGCAGCTTGTGTGGCTTCATGTTTCTAAGCCAAGAGATTAAGCCTAGAATTACGCTGAGAGAGAGTTGTTGAGTTCCAGAAGCTGAGTTTCTTGGGCCTGTGCTCAGACGTTCTTGTTTCACAGTCCTCGGCAATGACACTAGGAGCGTGGACTAGTGTTGGCACAGTGTTGGGTGACCCTGCAGTTCCTGTCCCTCTGCCTGGGTTGGCCCACAGGCTTTCTGGCTCTCAGGACCTTGGTGGTTGGCGTTGTTCTCGGTTGTGGCTGTTCCCCCTCTCTCTCTCAGCCACTAGCTTTCGATTCTTCTCCATTGTTCACCGTGCCTCGCAATTCCTCATTCCCCGAATGGTGTGGTTTCTTGTAATTCTGTGATCATTGATTCATTGATAATAGCTCTGTATAGTCATGAGCTTAGGTTATTTTAGATTCTAGCTTGCCAGTCTGACTCAGCCATTGGGGGGTGGTGAATCCTTGTGGTCAGCAAGAGGAACGTTTTCACGGCGTGGTTTCCTTTCAGGCCTAGAGATGCCCATAGAGACCAAGAACTCTAGAAAATCATTTCTTATTAGTGATCTTGAAATTCTGTCGTTTCCTCTGAAGCAAGTGTCTGACTCACCGTCATTAGGAGCACTGGATAATTCATTTATTCCTCATGTGTATGGGTCACTGCTTGGCTGGGTTCTGGGGAAGCAAGATAAAGACATGGCCCTGCCTTAAGGTGCTCTGACCCGTGAGCAGACAGTTACAGGAAAGTAAGGTGGAAGGTCATCCTGGAGAGGCCCCTTTAGCAGGGAAAGCTTCCTGGTGGCACAAGTTGGAGCTGCTTTGGAGCGGGGGAGTGAAGG